GAGCTTCGAAAGCTTGCAACAAGTATATTGTGCATTTTGGTTGGCGAAGAAAGGTATCATTGTTTGGTGGATTTTTGTTCGAATAATAATAATAATAATAATAATAATAATAATAGACTTGACTTGAGACTTGGATTAAAAGGCTTGAATCCATCACTGCTTGCATGTTATTCTACCTTTTTATTTGTGACATCTCCAGGACCCCAGTCCTCTACTGCTCTGTTTAATTCCTGCAAATTCCTCTTCATGGTCTCTTTAATAAAGTCCATCCATCTAGCATGTGGCCTTCCAATCTTTCTACTTCCCTCCACCTTTCCTAGCATTATTGCCTTTTTAAACTATTCATGCTTTCTCATGATTCAACTCGAGGGCAGTTAACAACAACAAACAACTCAGCACAAAAGTCAGGATCATACAAGCCATCATCGCATTCCCTATTCCCATGGAAAGGTTGCATGCAGCATATAGATGGATGTGAGAGCTGGACAGTTAAGAAAGAGGATAGGAAGAAAATCAATGCATTTGAGAGAATGTGGGGCTGGAGAAGAGGGCTGAAGATCCCATGGACAGCCAAAAGGACAAAGAAATGGGTCCTAGAGCAGATCAAGCCAGAGAGATCCCTGGAATCCAAGATGACTAGACTTAGGGCCTTTGCAGACTGCCAGAAATAGTGCAAATTGAGTCCACTTTAACTGCCCTGACTCAGTGCTAGGGAATCATGGGAACTGTAGTTTATTGTGGCACCAGAGCTCTCTGACAGAGAAGGCTCAATGTCTCAGAAAAAAAAATACAATTCCCATGATTCCATAGCACTGAGCCAGGGCAGTTAAAGTGGACTCAAGTTGCACTATTTCTAGCAGTCTGCAAAGGACCTTAGACTCATACTTTGGACACCACAGTCTAAATCTTGTCATCTTGGATTCCAAGGAGGTTTCTGGTTTGACCTGCTCTAGGACCCATTTTTTTTTTTGTTGTTTTGGCTGTCCGTGGGATCCTCAGCACTCTTCTCCAGCCCCACATCTTGAATGAATTGATTTTCTTCCTATCATTTTTAACTGTCCAGCCCTCACATCCATCCCTGGGAATAGGGAATACAATGGCTTGCATGATTCTGACTTTTGGGATGAGTTGTATATCTTTGCATTTTAGGATCTTTTCTAGTTCTTTCATAGCCACCCTCCCATTCTTAGTCTTCTGATTTCCTGACTGCAGTCTCCATTTCTATCAATGTTTGACCCCAGGTATGAGAATTCTTTTACTGTTTGTAATTCTTCATTTGTCTAATTCAGATTTGTTAAGGTTCTCTATGGTCATT